ATAAAAAATCAGAGTCCACCTTGCTAAAACTGATGTTTTTTCAGTCAAAAACAGCCAAACTATTTCAAAATGCCTTCATGTACATTACCATTTTCCCTCCTATTTTTAATGCCCATTTTAGGATATTTGCTATCTTATTTTATAAGGTAGAGGGCACATCCAAAGGGAAATGGGTGAGAGTAAAAGGAACTTTTGGCTCTACTTTACTTGCTAAATCCACACTTAGATTTTGAAAAACTGACAGTCTAAATATGTCCACTTGCGTCTTTGACTTGAGTAGCCTGCACTTATATATTAGAGTATCCTAGTTCTCATACATCTTAGCAGTGTTACAAAGGTTAGATTTTTTTTATATGGATGAATTCATCTTAAAACAATTTCTTGAACATATTAGGTACTTTCTCTTTTTCTATAGAAAAGAAAGTTTTCTGCTTCCAAATAAAGAGTCAAATCCTCAGCCTGATATGGCTCCATCAATTACATTAGCTAAGGATCTAGGTCATTGTATTCTCCAGTGAGTTATAAGCAATGCAAGTTAAAATTCATTTCCATTCACATTCAGTTCCTATTACTACTTTCTCTAGATACCAAAATAGTCATTTTTTTATATACTTGTATTTCTTTCAGAGGACAATTCTAGTGCTGTTCAACAGACAATAGAGTGTATCATTCTCTGTTACTTAGAAACAGAATCAGTATTAATATATATGTTACACCATAAACAAACTGCACTGAAGCAGCTCTGCCAAGCAGTTTGTGTACACAATCCACAGATAGAAGCTATTCTGTATCGGTATTTCTCTACTTCAAGTAGCCATTTAGATGTAGTGGATTGCAGCCCATTTAGCCATTGCGGAGCTAGCTTCAATCTGGCTAGCAATGCAGATCTGGCTACAGCAGTGAAAAAGGCAGTGTCATGGGCTTCAGCAGGGGCTGTACAAGCCTGCCAGAAATCCTGGGTGCAGTGGGACACTAAACAGCCACGCCAGACTAGAGTCCGGTACCATTATGAAAATAAACAATTGATTCGTAAGATCCCAGAACGTAACTGAAATGAGATTGTATGTTAAGATATTGTAAGGAAATTTAGAATGATATTTTTAAGTTTTTTCTCTTGCTCTGAAGTATAGCAAGAAATTTCCTAAGAAAAAAGGAGAAAAAACTCTTTATAGACCTTTAAAAAGGATGAAAAAAAGAAAAAAGAAGAAAAAGCATGGCACAAACAAGTGTAGCAGTGTGCAGTTGATTAGAGTACTATAGTTTCCTTGACCAGCTTGCCGAGCTTAAATTCATGCTGCTGTTCCTTCACTTCAGTTTGTTACATGAGCTACTGAGATTAAAGCCCGTTTGCGTTGGCCCACATGTGCTATAGTTGCCTCTGGCTACATTGTAGGCATCTCCATATTAGTAGCATACAATTCATTTCCAATTTTGACTTGCGTTGCTTCCTAGTAGCCTAAAAATAGGGAATAGTTACCCACACTTGAGGTCAAATACCATTTTTGCACAAACCTCAGACAAAAATGGGTACTATTTTGAATCTTATTTCGGTAGAATACCATGAAATCACCATTATTGTTGTACCATGTAGAACAAATTCATAAGAAAAAATAAGATATACATGTCAAACTCAGAATGGGGCCCTTCCTTAGTCTGTCACTACCACAACTGCTGTAGCAAAATATATTTTGTAGGGTGAATAAAGTGTATTATGTTCCATTTGTTTTAATAATTACCTGGGTGTAAGTCATTACTTTCAAATCTTGAAAGTAATCTTTTTATTCTAATTCCCAGAGGATTTCTTTCTAGAAGACAAAAAAATACTGTACCACTGAATGACCAATGGATAAAGATATAAAGGATCAAAACCCATCTTGTTTGCAGTTAAAAATACAGTGAACTCTCTATGTAGTTGAAGATTCAAAATCAGCATGAGACTCTAGAATTTTTTTCTCTTTTTCTTTTTTATTTATTTGCAACACAAAAAAATAAATCAAATGGGTCACCATTTGTTGAGGTCTTTTGAAACATTTCATCTTCTAACTTAAAAAATATTTTAGTTTGGCATACTAGATTCACACACACACAAAAACCTAATTACCAAATTGTTTGACTCTGGTCCTTCAGTGGTCGGGAAATTGAATGAAATATTTTATTTAAGATTATTTTTATTTATGTTTAAGAATGTGAATATCCACAGCACTAAAAACATTTATTAGTGTCTAATACTGAGCAGTATGTTTAGCTGCAGTACTTGTCTCCTGGTAGTAGGCATTAATTTGTTTAGTATTTATAAAAGATAAAATTTGCAACTGATTGATTTATTGCATGCAGTGATCATCCTGGAAGTCTACCTTTTATAATGTATTGAAATATTGCCATAATACTACAAGTGCCCTTGCTTTTAGATTTTTTTTAAGTTTCTAGTTGTTATTTCAGAAACAGAATGTAGTATGGTTTATAAGGTGTGAGTGAACATATCTTGCATGAATTATCAGTGCCAATGTGAATAAAATATTCTAGCAATAAAAGGGATGTGCAAATAGTTTCATAGTTTGTAGGGTTGGAAGGGACCTGAGCAGGAAAAAGTTCTGGGGTCAAACAACCCCAGCAAGGTGTTCATCTAGCCTT